CTATGCAGCTACTTGGGATGACAGAAAGCATCAGCGTTTGTATTCTAGACATGTTCGCAATGCACCTACGCGGAAGCGAACAATAGATAGCAACTGTCAATGAAGATACCCCACATGAAGCCTCGACTGCTACAACATACTTTTTTGCATGGAGTATCCATATACAGAGACCTTACCTCCAACAGACTGTATTCTATTCCATAGCTTTGCTCCGCAATACTACCCGCCATGACCAGAATCGTCCGTTGAAGGCGAAATGCAAAGAAATCGCTCTGATGGATCATGGAGTGCCTGGTGAAAATCTGGCACGGGTGGTGTGGGCCTGGGGAAAGGTGAGTGGTAAGTACGGCGGACGACGGCTGACACTACGACAAAACCAAAAAAAAATTCTCTTTTCGCAACTCTTCGAGAGGTACTTTTTGAGGCACTCTTTTAGGGGCTACTCTCCGGGCTACTCTCCGGGGTACTCTCCGGGATACTCTCCGGGGTACTCTCCGGGGTACTCTCCGGGGTATTCTTCCGGGTACTCTTCGAGGTACTCTCCGGGTTACTCTCTCGGGTGCTCTTCCTGGTACCTTCCGGGTACTTATAACGAATAATAACTAACACTACGATCGAATATTTTTATAAAGTTCTTCGCAAAAAAAAAAATGTAATTTAAAGTTTTTTTTTACGGGACTTTCCGCGGAACTTCCCGCGAATTTTTTTTTTAATTTCTCGACTAAATCTTTAAGAAACCCCTCGAGTAACCTCTAAGTGCTCTCTAAAATACTCTTCTCGAGTACCTCCGAAAGTATACCCTCGAATAATCTCTTAAATCCCCCTCGAGTACCCCATAAAGAATCTCCTAAAGTATTTCTCTAAAATATTTCTTTAGAAAATCTCTTCAAATATTTTTTCAAAGTCGCGGGAAGAAAAAAAAAAATCTAAAGAAAAAAATTGGTTTTGGTTTTGTCGTAGTGTCAGCCCTCGTCCGCCGTAGTAAGGTAGCCAAGCCCTACCTAACTTCCCGCAACTCTAGTCCTTCTGCGGCGCTGCGTTGAAAGTAAAAGACGTTGAAACTCGAAAAGGAGAGGAGATATCTAGCCAGTCAATTTAGATCATTCTCATCTTTACCCACCAAGGTCTTGAGCAAAGTTGATCCCACTATCGTACTTCCATCTTTAAGTAGGCCTAGGTGTTGTCAATGGAACTTTCCTGTCCCTACCTGAAGGAATAACGCTCCGCGTGGGCGACTTTTGAGCCCGCCAGAGCTCAGGGGACACGGGACCACCTCCGGCCTTCAACATGTTTAGAATGCGCCGATACCGGGTTTTCCTGGTCTTTGCTGTCATTGCAGTCGGTGCATTATACCATTTCACAACCTTAGGCGGTCTCGGGAGCGCGGGTGCGGCGAGCGTCGAGGGGCTCAAGAACTTTGGCCAAAAGATTGAATCTTCCTCTCCACCAGCTTCGAAATCAGAGCAAGATTCAGATAGTGAAGAAAGATCGAATGCCAAAGATATCAATGCGCCCATAGCTGTGCATAGTCTCGCAGACTCGGGAACTGCAAGGCCATCTATTGCCGCAGCACAGGAGCCGGAGTCCCGAGCCAAACCAACATCTCTCGTGAAGTCAGCTTCTAGATATGGCGATTCGGTCGCTGCGGACAAGCCTCTATCAGCAGGCAAGGTTGCCCCAACTGCTACGTCTACACCCGCCAACAAGACAACAAAAGTCGAGACTGGCCCAGCAGACCCCATCAATGAACCCGAGAGTGGGAAAGGCAGAATGGAGATAATTGCGGAGACAGGCATCCCCAAGATTCACTGGAGCCAGCAGCCAGAGCACTTCCCTATCCCGACCGAGGACATTATACAACTACCTACAGGGAAGCCGAAAGCAATTCCACAGATTCAGCACAAATTCACAGCCGAATCTGCAAGCGATAAGGCAGCTCGAGAAGACAAAAGAGAAATCATCAAAAAGGCCTTCTCATTCTCTTGGGATGGATACAGATCGAAGGCGTGGAGGCAAGACGAGTTGTCCCCAATATCTGGCAAGCATCGCAACCCATTTTGCGGATGGGGCGCAACACTGGTAGATACTTTGGATACATTGTGGATGATGGACTTGAAGGACGAATTTGAGGAAGCTGTAGACGCTGTCAAGGAGATAGACTTCACTACAAGTGCGAGGAACGACATACCGCTGTTCGAGACCGTTATTCGATATCTTGGAGGCCTTGTTGCTGCGTATGACATAAGTGATGGCACATATAAAGTACTTTTGGATAAAGCCGTGGAGTTGGCGGATATCCTCATGGGTGCCTTTGACACACCAAACCGCATGCCTATGACCTTCTATATGTGGAAGCCGTGAGTCTGCAAATGAGCTATTGCAATGTACATCCACTTACATTTTCGCAGCACCTTCGCCTCTCAGCCTCACCGAGCCAAAACGAGAGTCGTTCTTGCGGAGTTGGGGTCTCTATCAGTTGAATTCACGAGGCTTGCACAGATCACGAAAGAGGCAAGGTATTATGATGCAGTTGCTCGAATTACCAATGAGTTTGAGATCTGGCAGAATGACACCAGAATGCCTGGCCTATGGCCCCTGAAAATCGATGCCTCGGGATGCAAGAAACCAGAGCAGGCTCCACAAACGAAATATGACCATCCGACAAGGAAAGGACCCACAAATTCGAAACCGCTGCTAATTGCCGAGGATAAAGCTGCAGCGGCAGATAGTCCGAGTCTCTTAGATGAAGGCCCGGCGAGGAGAATCAAGGCTGAGGAGGATCTCCAGTCAAAAAGTGAGGGTGGTCTTGTGGACGCAGTGGATGAGGTGAGGAAAGCGGGAGCAAAGAGTCCAGCAGAATCAAAAAGCGCATTTTTGCCTGAAGCTCCTGATAGTAGCGTCGAAGCAGCCACACATGTCAACCACGAATCGCATGATTCCGCTCAGAAGTCTTCTGCCGCCAGTGCTTTGGTAAAGAGAGAGGTCTCCACGGACCCTGTTTCAAAACCCGCAGAGTGTGAGCCGCAAGGCCTCGCATCACCGCCGTACACATCGAGCGAAGAATTCGGAATTGGTGGCCAGGCGGATTCTATCTACGAATACCTGCCAAAAGAATACATGCTTCTTGGAGGCTTGGAAGAGAAGTATCGAGCTATGTACGAGATGGCGGCAGACAGCACCATCAAGAATCTCTTGTTTCGCCCCATGATACCCAACGAGAAAAGACATATTTTACATGCAGGTTTAGCCAAGGTCGCCGAGAGAAAGAATCCTACCGACGATAAGGTCGACCTAAAGCCGGAGGGAACACACCTCACTTGCTTTGCCGGGGCTATGTTCGCCATTGGTGCCAAGGTCTTCGATCGCGAGGATGACATGGACATCGCTTGGAAGCTTACAGACGGATGTGTGTGGGCCTATGAAGCAACGAACACAGGTATTATGCCCGAAAGCTATTTGGCTATTCCTTGCCCAGATGTGGACAGTTGTCCATGGAACGAAACGCTGTGGCATGAATCGCTCGACCCTTTCGGTGACTTGCGTGAGAAAAACCGAATCTCGAGGCAGCAAGCTGTCTTAAGCTCCAAGAAAAAAGCGCCCCTCGACGAACCTGTAGGAAAGGGAGATAAGACATCTCAAACTAAAGTCACCAAGGCCTCGTCCATTCCGGGACTGATCAGCTCTCAAACGAAAGGGTTAATTGGTAAGAAAGGTGATGCACAATTCGTTGAAAGTGCCATCTCCGAATCGAAAGTAGACAAGTCTATAAAGCCAAAAGCTGCTCTCTTGGAAGGAGAGACTGATGAGCTCATGACCAAGGCCAGAGAAGCTGACGCTTCTTCAAAGTATCTTCACAAAAGGCAACTTGGAGACTTCAATGAAGAGAACCCAATTGCCTCTGCGGGAGGAAAGGCTGTACCAACAGCGGCAGCGATTCCCAAAGAACCGAAGGACACAGTCACAGAATCGACTGACAAGACAAATGAAGAGTCCATGGTTGAGGAGACTTCCGCGGAACAACACTTGGACAAATCAAAGGCGCCTACCCTAGGTCTCAAGGACAAAGCAACAGGGTTGAAACACTCCAACGGCACAACCAAACCTACGGTTTACACCCCACCACCAATTCCTACACGCGAGGAGTTCGTGAAGGCTAGGATCAGCGATGAGAGATTACCAGCAGGGATGACCAAGGTTACGGGCGGCAGATATCTCCTCAGGTGAACTACCCTTCTCACTGTAAAGACGAAGTGTAGATGCTCACCAAACCTTAGACCAGAGGCGATTGAATCCGTTTTCGTCATGTACCGCACCACCGGCGACGAGTACTGGCGCGAAAAGGGTTGGGAGATGTTCAAGGCCATCGAAAAACATACCATTGCGACCTATGGCGCTTCCGCGATATCAGATGTTACGAGCAAGAAGCCAGTGGCCTTGGATGAAATGGAGAGCTTCTGGTTGGCGGAGACGCTCAAATATTTCTATCTCTTATTCAGTGAGCCTGATGTGGTCAGTCTGGATGATTATGTGCTGTGAGTACCGACCCTTTTCCCTCCCAACTCCTATTTCCTAATCTCTTGAGCAGGAACACAGAAGCACATCCATTCAAGAGGCCGACATGATAAGTCACTGTGTGATATGAGTAATGTCATGGATGCGTTGAAGGATATTGGCATAAGCAAGCTATGCATTTGATGGCGTATGGTTTTGGTCTGAGCAAATTGGGCTGTCTCGGAGCCTGGAGGTTGTCATTCTTATGAGGCACTATACCAAGTAGATATGCGTATTTGTACTCTAGGACCCAAAGAATTCACCGAGAATCGAATGGCGAAAGAGCTGTGGACCGAATTTACTAGAGCTTTCATCCACGTTACTTAGTTCGTCGTGACCATTCGCCTGCCGCGCTTGTGAACCATGACACTAAGTAATCTTCCTGAGTCACGGAGACTGAACGACAATTGCTCTTTCAGCCTCTGATCATGACAGTCGTCACTTGAGCAATGGAGTTTGAGGTGTCTTACACCTTAGACAATGAGCAGCAGTTCTGGGATGGTGTGTAAGCCAGCGCCTCCACCATTCCACTGACGCACGCATTGACCCTGCTTTTCAGAACTTGAAGAGATAGTCTCCGCACAATGCCAGTCACACGAGCTCATAGACAATGCTCTACGGTCATACTTGACCTTTGTCACCAATTACAAGGGTCTGCGCTGTCCACTGTCCACAGAGAAAATGGGCGAAAGACTGAGTATCGGCACAGGAGAATACGTACAAACCGAATATGACATCGCCCGCTGCTCATACAGACTCCTCGAGTCCTCTCTCTTCATCGAGAATAAAGACTATGTCCGCAGACAGATTGTCTACAGCCTGCTGCAGGTATGGCGCGCTCACTCTTAATCCACAATCAGCTGCTCATGTGCAACAGGAAGATTCCCCAGACACGTTACACCTAATCATAGCATTTCTTCTCTTCGATGGCCAGCAAAACGATATCACGTTCGAGATGATGAAAGAGGAGGGTGGGTTCCCAAGGCTGCTTGAATTAATACAGGAGGGAAGAGACGATGATGCGGGCTTGCATAGAATGCTGCTTGAAGTGCTTTACGAAATGTCACGAATACAGCGATTGCGAATAGAAGACTTAAGTCAGCGTTGTCCTCGGCTTTCCTCACGGGCTTGAGAATTCTGACGAGAAGCGATAGTACTAATCGAAGACGAATTCGTTGCGTACATGTTCCAGATCATCGAGGGCTTATCCGACGATGTGAACGATCCCTATCACTATCCAGTCATACGAGTCGTGGTATGTGGGTCCTGTTGAGGACAGAAGCGACCGTCTTGCTGATATGTTCAGCTTATATTGAACGAGCAATACATGTGCTCGGCTCACGACCCAAGCCCAAATCAAACCACCTCGCCAAGTACACCTCTGACAAACAAAGTCATGAAGATCCTTTCCGCTCAGGGGTCCGCTTACAAGACCTTCGGTGAGAATATCATCCTCCTCCTGAACCGAGAGAGCGAAACTTCCCTCCAGCTGCTCATTCTCAAACTTCTCTATCTCCTCTTCACCACACCGCCTACGTACGAGTACTTTTACACCAACGACCTCCACGTCCTCCTCGACATCATACTGCGGAATTTGCTCGACCTTCCTCCTTCCTCTACCGCTCTACGCCACACCTACCTCCGCGTCTTATACCCCCTCCTCGCCCACACACAGCTGAAGCATCCACCGCATTACAAGCGAAATGAGCTGGTCAGACTATTAGCTATGATGGCAGAGGACGATAATCAACATTTCGGGGCTGTAGACGAGACGACAAAGAGACTTGTGGAACGTTGTGGCAGAGTAGGATGGTTGAAGGATGAGGAAGCGTCTGGCTCGATTCCGACTTGGATGAAGCAGCGATTGCTGAGTGTCGATCTGCCGAGCGCGATGAAGAGCAGTCTCAGCGTTGTGGAGGTGACTACTCAGAGGGAGAAACCGGGGGTGAAGACTCCTAGTCGAACGGACGATGACAGGGCGAATGAAAACACTGGGAATATTGTGGACAGTTCAGGAACGATCAATAATGGTGCGGTAACGGCTGGTAATGATGGGATCGGGAGGGCAATGGGTGTGGAGAAGAGCCCGTTCGAGGTTGAGGGAGAGGCGTAATGCTTTCTATGGAGGGTAGGCTGCAATGCTAAAAAGCCAAAGGGAATTTGCTTTGGAAACAACCATCAGCTTATCAGCTTGCGAGTCCAAGGTTCCTAGCCTTTCGGGCTTCTTGTACACATGTTCACTATTCATATGTCTATTTTCCTGACTTGCTGCTTGTACATATGGCTCCCAACCCAATTCTAGGACGAGTGGGAATCCAGGAATAAAAAAGGAGTCGTACCATATTTCTTGGAAGTCTTTAGTGTGAGCAGGCATAGCGGGATATGTATCTGGGAAACAAATTGCTCTTTTCTGACAACGCGGGCTCTTTTCACTGGAGGTCTGCAGGGCATACTTGGTTCCAGACGGTTGGATCACTTCTGATGATGGCTGCTAACCCAGCGCCTTCGGCGTTCGAATGAACCATAAGGGTTAGCAGCTGCCAATCATACCCAGTCAACGGTCGAAAACTCCTTCTCATATCACCTTCGCAGCTCTGAGCAAGTCATCAAGCTCCGGGAGGGTACACCCAGTGGAAATGAACGATTTGATGGCCTCCCATGGCCCGCTCCCTATTGTACCTTCATCACCTGGCTGCAACGTACTCCAATTCGGACTATGCTCCGCTCTCAGCCACTTAAAATCATCGACTTGATCCCACATATTTGGAGACTTTGGCCGTGATGATTCAGTGGTATTCTAACGTCAAATCATGAACGAGAACAGCTAAAGTTTAACGAAGGGAATACTTACATAGACGGGCTGAAACGGCGTGAACCGTATACCCTTGCAGTCTTCGATGATCGGTCTACTGCCGCAACGCAAATACACAAGACAGTTCTTGCACTCATGCATACGCATTTGACGACTCCAAACGATCAGAGTGCTGTTCTCGACGCCTGTGATATGCGCGGCGCCACTGGTTCTGCCGCAGATTATGAGACTTTCGGTCACAGAATTGATGGCTAGCGTTGCAAAGGGTCTTGATAATGAGTCGGAGAGGTCGACGGCGCTGTGGTCAAGTTTTGTGATTGATATCGATGAGCCCGGTTCTGAAGAGGCAGAGTCGAGTCTGTGATGAGTGAATGAAAGTGATGTGATCGTGATAGCACCTGCAGCGCCTGAAACGGGCCCAGCATCGAGACTGTCCTGGTTTCCTTTCTGGTCGCTACTATCGTAATCAGGCTCGTTCAAGAAAGCTATCTTAGCACTGTCGCCAGTAGCTGCCCGGCTTTGGCCTGAGAAGTCTTCCGAAGGTTCATTGCTAGAGTTGGCGGAATTTTTCTGCGCAACGTTTTTCTTAAATGCAAACCTGCGCTTCGGAGCAGAAGCATTGCGTATTCCCTGTAATTCTTCATCAAGAGACCTGACCGCCTGTTAAGCTGCCCGCTCTATTAGCATCGCTCGAGGCTTGATAGAGAAACACTGTAAAGACCGTAGAATAAGTGCGTTGGTCGTAGGCTGGGAGATAAGCTGAGGCATCCTTGACCTCATTGGAAAGCTGGGATATGCTGGCTAGACATTGATCCGTTATGTTCACTCGCTCGACTGGCTGTAGGGCGGTTTCCTTCAAGCGGTTCATCTGCTCTTGGAGCGCTAGATTTGAATGTCAAAGACGTTCTTGAAGATGCGACTGATACTTACAGGTTTCCTCTTGCTTGAATCGGCGGCGGAAGTGCTCTTTGACATTTGAATCCGATGATCCTTTTCCAGCCTTGATTGACATGATTTTTATATGCCGAAACCGAATGAGTCTACTGGGAAGACTTTATTGCGGTGTGATTGCAGAAACTTTTGGATTTTCACGTTATCAGCGGGTTTGCTTTTCCTCATCTACTACTGTCTCTGCTATCGAAAGGCAGGCTCTACGTACTAAGTATCAATCATACCATAGACTTTCATGATTTGAAAGACTTTTACGTGCAGAGTAACCCGGCCTAAAACAGCCGATGAAAAACCATGATTTTCTATGTACAACTCTAGCAAATCGAATGGCGCCTGATACTGCATCAGTCAAGTTCGAGGTACATCTAAACCGTAATTCTGCTTAATTCTCTCGGCTCGTCTTTCTCGGTAGCCGGGACCATATACGCCTACGATCATTAGTAACACTGACCCCCGTGGGAATTGAACAGGTGCCTCACCTCTGCCCTCGCCCAATTCTTCTAGCGTTTCTTGTATGGGTCTCCTCCTGTTCTTCTTTAATGCCTCCTTTCGCTCATACTCGTCGACGTTTGGATCCTTGTCGTAGCCTGAAAACTTTCCACCAGTATAGTCAAAAGCACCTTGCACGATTGCCAGACTAGCACCGAAACCCAAGACAGCGGGAAATGTTCGGACTGTGACTTGATCAGGACGTTTATCCATTGACAAAAAGGGCCGCCTAACATCTTAGTCCTAAGACACTACCTGACAGAAAGCCACCAATAGCAGGGTTCCAGCTGTCATCTTTCTCCCGAAGGTTCGCAGCCGCGGCTTTTGCGAATCCATAGGTTCCTCCCGATGCAGCTATATCTTATATTAGTGCTATGAATATAGGAGTAACACCAATAATAGCCTACCAAAGATTGCAATTATTCCCCCACCCCGCGTAAGAACTCCCCAGCCTGATACATTTTGCTTTGTAAGAGTATTTTGAATCGCAGCGACTGCAAGTCCAGCTGCCCCAGTGATCAATGTTGCTTCAATTGCAAGACCGACGGCGTCTTTCGGCATGTACGCTGCCTCATCCTCAGAAGCCATGGTGCAGTGAAGCAGAAGGGCTTCCCTTGCGCATGCAGCTTACGTTGATGCTGTCATAAGGAACCCTGATGTGGAGGAAGTACAGTATTGGTATGAGCTAAGAAGGTAAGCTCTAGGAGTCCCCAAAAAGCGCTTGCCAAGCCTCGGCGAAATCAAATTCCGGTTCCGATGCATGTTCGGCCTGGCAGCTAGCAGCTGTTGATGATTGAAAACTATCTTCAAATTCAAGTTCCCATTCCTTTCTTGCAAGCCGGCTACTGTTGCCTGTTTTTAGCCACGTATATCCTCTTTGTTTTAACCGCCTGTACTCTACAAAACAACGATCATATACGGTACCCCATTCTCAAACCCCCGGCATCAGATCTTCCGGACAGAATCCACAGAGCTTCGCAGCGCTTTTTGCGGGCGCCATCTCCTCCGGCTACCCGGCCAGCATTGGAGCCTTCGTTATCTTGCCTCTGTTTGTGGAGAACGAAGGTCTCACTATTGGCGCCCGAGACCAGGAAAGGACAAGACGGCGAGGAACTCCTTAGCCGCTCCAGCTTGAATGAAACACATAATGTCTAGATGGAATAGATGAGAAAAGGAAGTCTGCTTTAGGGCAGTTTCTAACACCACTTTGTCATACAACTGCGGCCTTGCCCCATTGCGGAAAGCCAACATCCGTCATCGAGGATGCTAGCCTGCCCAAAGACCTTACACACGCCATCATGAGGATCCTTCTTAGAGGAGGCGAGTACCACGAAAGCACTGAGAGAGTGGTATACTGATCATCCTCTTCTTCAGGCAAGACCGCGCCACGGCTCCTCAGCGATCTCTACGATTATGACCCTAGATATATGACACCGACAGCCTACAATATCCTCACCAGTCTTCCGTACTTTGACGAGGAGGAGCCAAAGGACCTCCCTCTGCTTCCTCCGGGGAAGAGCTGCAAGCATAAGTGGTCACTGAAAAAAAATCAGAGCAACCTCCCTGGCGATGGCTATAAGCCGGATTCGTCGACCGTGTGGAAAATCGCGCTATATTGCTCAGTATGTCGGTCTCATTTGGATCTCTTAATAGATTTTCAGGAAGGAAGCGCTTTTTCTTCACCGTGCCCGACTAGCTCTAGGCCGTTGCATCATTTCATACACCGACCAGATTTATCGAAGCCTCGACAGCATGGCTTCCTTGCTCCAGATCCAGATACCGGGTTCCCATGGGTCGATGAGCAACATTTCCAATGTTCTGCGGCCGAATGTTCTGCAAAACTAGTTATTTGGTTCAAGCCACCCAGACTTGTCCCGGATTGGGTGAAACAGCTTACCGACAAATTTATGATCAAGACTCGAGCCGAGAAAGCAATGGCAGAGGACCCGAAACGGTTTGAGGGTCATGCTGTTCCACTGCCAATAAACGTCCTCAGCAATCTGCGGGTTTATATCTGGAACGCTGTTCAAACTCCAGAAAAGAGCAGGAAAATTCCAGGGCACAACAAACAGTTCCTATTGAGCTTAGGAGAGTCTTGTGCTGATTTGCTTGAGTATATTGGATTCACACGTGAGGTAATGTTTATATGGTGTATATGAAATTGACGGAGTTGATTTGGTGACTGTAGGGAGAGGATTGGCTACCACCAGAGCCTGAAGTCCCTTCGCCAGACTATTTGTCAAATTCACTCAACGTTCGCTTGGATGATCTACTTAGGGAACTGTATGTCCTTATCTTCGAGAGACCGGACGATGAGAGGATTACTATGAACTATCAGTACATCCCCGAATGGGCGAAGAAAGATTTAAGTGCCGTACTAGGTTGTCTGGACTGTAAGTGAAGCCTTCTCTATTGAATTTTCGTAATTGACCAAAGCTCACTTATTTTAGTCCGGCAAAGCACACGCTCTCGGACCGTTGATCTGACCGAGGCCAAGGAAGAGCACCCGTAAGTCCAGGTCTGACAACCAAAGTCCGTACACTCGCAGGCTTATGATTTCCAAGATGGCACGCCGGATTAGGTGCTACCGCCGACTTCCATGACGAGCTCATAGAATTCTCTTATGAGCGACAACTAGAAATGGATCCTTATAACACTCCATATTACTTGGAGTGTCTCCAGGGAATAGCAAGGGGGCGTCACAGCGAAACCCTTCACACTAAAGTTGCGATAGAGGCTTCCGAGAACCGAATTAGCTTGAAGGACGTCAGGGCCGCCTTCAAGGAGCTTGGTCTCGATTCTCGGTCTGACTACGAGGACGACACTATCATTGGCACGTTCCAGTCAAGAGTTTCTGATGCCCCTAAACAAGAGACAGAGATGCGAAGGGCTTTAAAGATAATTGGCCAAAGCCGCAGAAGTGAAAAGATCGAATTTGTAGCCTCCCAAGGTACGCTAAATCTCCAATGAAATGTCTGGCCAATGAGTTACTGAGTGAATCATAGCTGTCACGAATTATGAACAAGCGCTTCTCTACCTCGAAGCGTCCGCCGATTTTACCGATGACTTTATTGTCTCGATGTATACTGTCAAGGTAAACCCGGTTGACTTTGTCCCCTAACATATGATTCAAACTCACCTTCGCCTCGATTCAATACTGAAATTGACGTCAATGCATTTGCTGATCGTATCCTTCTTCCCTACCTAGATCGATCAACCATCGTCAGAGGAATCTATAGCACGCCACGCCGTCGCCCTGATTGCCGATCACCGCAAGAGTAACGCTCTCAAGCATTGGCTTGAGACCGGTGCACTGGGCGAGGTGGAGATGGATGTGGGTCAGGCATATGTTCGCCTGGACATCAGTGACCGAACACTTGACGACGAAATTATTCTTGCTCAATACGAGTCCTTGATCGCAGACAGCCCATCTCAGGTTGGCGACCTGAAGAATGCTCTCGCGGCAATTGCAAAAGCGAAGAATTCTCGACGCCTCAAGGGCTTCCTGAATCTTGACATGAACTCATCGGAGCATCCTATATCCGAATGGCCAGTAGGACTAGAGAATATTGGCAATACATGCTACCTCAACAGCTTGTTACAATTTTACTTCACCATCAAGCCGCTAAGAGACCTTGTCTTGAAGATTAAGGAGTTCAAGATGCCGACAGATGGAGAGAGTCTCAAATCAAAACGAGTAGGATCTAGGAATGTGTCGAAAAAAGAAGTCGATCGTGCGCAGCAATGTGAGTAATATCGTTGACTTTGAATGAACGGCCATTGACTTGCACAGTCGTCGATCAACTGAAGAAACTTTTCGAAGATATGATCGCTTCTTCCAAAGCTTCAGTAACGCCAGAACCAGAACTTGCCCGCCTCACTCTTGTAAGTTCTTCCAAGGAGGAACACATACGTCGTCAGTCGATGCTCAGTCCTACCCGTCCTTCACTGGGGCAGATCAATGGCAGTCCTGTATTTGGTCCCCTGGGTCCTCCAAGTCTATCTCAGAAAGACACAGAGATGTCTGATGAGGCGCCACTCGAAGCTAAAGACTCGAATGCCGTCAACAACGATCCCAGCGGCGATGACGCGAGCGATATAACTTTGGTTGATGGTCCGTCTGCGACAGAAGATGATGTTATGATCTTAGATGATGATGGTGAGAAAGGCGTACAACAGAAGTTCTTCGAGGATAAGGAGAACATGCCGCCCACCAAAGAATCAGTCAGAGAGACCTCGCCAGAGACATACTTGAGACCGCTTGGCGAGTCTTCCCCGTCCCGTGTGAATGAGCAGCAAGGCTCCTTAAATCTTTCGAATGGGATGGAGAGTGAGCCCCAAGATTTCAATAACGGAAACTCAAAGTCATCCGAGACTGGACAAGGTGATTCTGGAGATGAAAAAAAATCGATTCCTGCAGCGCCGCCGAACAGACCTCCGCCAGTCCCGCCAAGGCCAAAGCCAATAGAAACGAATGCTGTCCAAGAGGCCGAGTATGGCGCTCAACAGGACGTCACTGAAGTCATTACAAACGTACTGTTTCAATTACAATGTGCTATCAAGGCCGAATCCGTTGACGAATCTGGGGAACAGATTGACCAAGTCAAACGCCTATTCTTTGGGAAACAGAAATCTTACACGACTAACAGACAAGGGAGAATCAGGACCAAGGAAGAATATATGTCCGACATCAAGGTCGATGTAGCTACCGGTTCCCGTGATATCTACGCAGCTTTAGACGGCGCCTACGATGTCCAGGAGGTTGAAGTACGTGGAGACATCGAACCACAGTACACATCAATCAGTCAACTCCCGCCTATCCTGCAAGTACACGTTCAACGGGTCCAATTCGACATGGTGAAGAAGTCCGTGTTCAAGTCGAATCATCATCTGGAATTGAAAGAGACCATCTACATGGATAGGTACATGGATTCCTCTGATGCAGATTTAATGCAGAGACGTCGAGAATGCTGGGAATGGAAGAAGCAGCTCACTAAATTGGAATCGAGGAGGGTCGAGCTTGCCACTTCAGATGTAAGTGAGCCTTGCATCTCAGATTAGTTCATGACTAAAATGTGACCATAGATGGGGATGGACATGCCAGAAATTCTAGAAGCCACAAGTGAATTCTTGCGCCAAATTCCCGACTTGGACGACAAAGATCCCATCGAGGTTCCGCCCGGTTTACTGCAAGTGCTTGACAACGCTGCAACAGAGGCCAAAGTGGAACTAGAGTGTAAGTTTACAACATGGGATAGCGAAGTTCAAATGCTGACCCGTACTCCTAGCCCTTGACTTGCAGATCAGGGACCTGAAGTCCCACATTGCCAGCCAATTCAACGATCTTCAAAAGCTCCCATATCGATTGCAATCAGTTTTCATCCACAGGGGTTTCCATAACTCTGGTCATTATTGGATATACATCTACGATTTCACAAGGCAATTGTGGCGAAATTACAACGATGGTTATGTAACGGAGATCAAAGACACCAAGGAGATCTTCGAGCAAGAACCTGGGGATCGACCTGCTACGCCATACTTCTTAGTCTACGTCAAGGACGAATCGAAAGAAGACTTAGTCGATTCTGTATGCCGAGACGTCGTCGAGCCGCCGGCAGAGGAGCAGCAGGATACTGTGATGGAAGACTATAGTCAAGCTCAAGAAAGCCAAACAGATGGCAACACCTACAGGCCGGTCAATTCATCTATGGACTATGGCACAGTAGAATCCTACAATAGTCAAGGCTGGACTCGTGGTGAAGGCTGGGTAGATAGCAGTCCCTGGAATCAGAAGGAAGCTCAGGTGTATTCGAATTGGTAAAGGATCCATGTCCTAAAGGATCAAGGACCCAACGCTTATCGAGTGCAGACTATCATAGTCTACCACCGGTCCACTGGTGTTCTCCAATCCCAGTCCGCATTCTCGGGCGTTGTGGTGTCCATTCGATAATTTCTCTACGTGGGCAAACATATGTCGACATCACCAACGTACAGCAACTTTTTCGATTGGTTGCGGAGACACATGGATCCGGTACATTTTACCACGGCGCTTCTACAAGAAATCTTCACGAAGAAGCGATCTGTGATCTAAGAAAACCAAACAGCAGTGCAGAGCGGGGTTTGGCACTGGTGTTAGTCCATTTCTCTGTAAAGAATTAATATCAGCGTTTCAGCCTTTCCAGACCTCAGTCGGTCTGACTTTTTTATGCAAGTCAGCATTATTACCCAGCATAGCACCGGAGCCTTGGACCAGTGGACTCCAGGGAGTCAGATAGCACGAGTGGTTGTGCGTAATGATACCAATACAAATCGTTGATTTCTGTACCAATTCGATAATTGTCCCCGATGCCAATTGTAGAAATTGATCTGTTCAGCACACTTATGCTGGAATGACTGTATAGTCAAGGGCAGAGCATCGAAGAGAGAGACGGTATACTTCATGTAGATGGACATCAGATACACTAAAGACAATATAGCTAGCTCCAAAGAATGCCAAGATTTCACCCACTGGAACAATTTTGGAGTTCACCGCCATCTACATCAAAGATTTCTCTGGCTTTTCAGTGTCCTCTCCAACAAGCGGCCTGGCATGTGATAATACTCATGTTTCTAGTTGATCTCTCAAAATATTTCAGCAAGTACAATGGCACAAGATTCTAGATCTGATAGCCTGGAGGTTTGTGCACGCTCAACCCCACAATATCCTGGTGTTTAGATTAACACTCACCGAAATCGACAGGAAAGACTCAAGAGCCATGCTAGATCATTTGATGGCCTCCTCTCTTTGATTCCTGCCAAGTACTATTACGGAGAAGACACCAGTGTATGCTCCGCACCTTCAGGCTTTGTCGACTTGAGTCTTTGACGGGCTCCGAGCTGATCGTATACTCCAACTCTAGGACCAATGGCAGAGGAAAAAGCAAACAAAAGAAGAGGCACGAGCTGCTAAGCGTGCAAAGCTTGATCCGGACAACGCAAAGAGTGCAAAAGATGTGTTAGATGAGCAAGCCACAAATGCTCGGAAAAGGAAGCGAGAAGAGGAGGGCGAGGTTTCAGAAGTGGATGATATGGAGGTCGAGAAGCCGATACCCAGTTCAGTCAAGAAAGGTAATCAGACGAAGAAGCAGAAGAGGGAGGAGAAGGAAACAGCCAGTGATCGCGCCGAACGGAAGCCGGTCAATGACACTGCAGTGGATGAGTATGAACCAGATCCCGAGACCCTGAGAAAAGCTACGGCAGAGAAGAAGAGGCAGAAGAGAGAACAGAAGAAGGCTAAAGAGAATGGAAAGGCTGCAAAGGCGAAAGCGAAGAAGGAGAGAAAGGCACAAGAGGCTGCGCTTGAGGAAGACTCTAAAGATGCTGCAGCCGGTGCAGACTTTAGCGATGAGGATTACGAGGCCGTTCAGAATGCGGTGATTGATCGGATTGAGATGGAAAACATCACAGACGAACCACAGATCGATCTTTCATCTACAGCTACACCGTCGACAAGCCACTCTCCTGCCTTCGACGCTTCAGCAAACCATTCGGGCTCCTCCTCCATCTCATCAATCGCACTTCCCACCGCAAGAGAAGACCCTCAACCCGCAAAGCCGTTACATGAAGAACCACAAGAAGAACCACAGGAACCAAAACCCACCCCTGAAGATATCAAGGCTCGCTTCGCAGCCCGCATCGAAGCCATGAAACGAGCCCGCAACGCCGACGGTCTCAACGGTGCACCCGCTCGCAATCGACAAGAACTAATGGAAGCTCGCCGCCAAAAAGAAGAGCAACGGAGAGCCCACAAGAAGGAGTTGCGCCAAAAAGCCAGAGAAGAAGAGCGGCGGAAACGCAACGAGACCCTAGCTCGCGGCTCTCCACTCCTTTCAGGGTCGCCTCTGCTCTCCCCAGATTCACCTCTTAACGCACCCTCATCACCTACCAGCAACTTCGCCTTCAGCCGTGTCGATTTCGCCGACGGCCAACATGCCTCCGCCAATCTGAATGCCATCATTGAGTCAAAGACCAAGCCAAAAGGCCCATCAGATCCCCGGACCGCACTTCTAGCGGCCCAGAAGAAGCAATCCCGCCTCAACGGCCTCGATGAGAGCCAAAGGGCCGACCTGGCGGAGAAAGACACGTGGCTCAACGCTCGTAAGCGAGCGCACGGTGAACGTATACGCGATGATACCTCTCTGCTCAAGAAAACGCTGAAGCGCAAGGAAAAGCAAAAGAAAAGGAGCTCAAAAGAGTGGAATGAACGGCTCGATGGCGTGAAGAAAAGCCAGGACATGAAGCAGAAGAAGCGAGAGGCCAATTTGCAGAAGCGGAAAGAAGAGAAGGGGAAGAAAGGTGGAAAACCGGGTGCGAAGAAAGGGAAAGGGAAACCCAAGGGAAGGCCAGGATTTGAAGGAAGTTTCAGAGCCAAGGCGCCGAGTGGAGGAGCGGACGGCGGGAGGAGAAGGTGACGAGCTTCCGGCAGCGATGAGGCGGCGTTCAACGCAGCGTTGACGACTCGGGCTCGATGGCATGGGAGTTGGAGACGCGCACGTGACCCGAGGGCAATGTAGGTGATTTCGAGACCGGCCAGCTCCATTGCACGGCTTTCTGCAACAGATCAGACGTCTTCCATGAAAGTTGCAGCTGCCCGGCATGACGCGGACCCGAGGTTTCGAACCAAAGGAGACCGGACAGAAGCGGTGACGGGAAGTGTGTTTTTGAGCATATAACCTCGATGCCACGAGCATGCCAATCCTCTCATCCCCTCGCTCTCGCGTTTCCCTCCCATCCCAAGTAGCTGGCCGACATCTCCCCATTCGACCCCCGAACCCGCCAGCTAGCCCGTGGAAACCCGCCTTCGCAGTCCGGGTTGGACGACTGTAAAGTAGAGCTCATCCCAGTTATCGGCAGTATCGGTACTCTGACCAGCGATTGAAAGCGTGAGCGACACCGGGGCCGGAAGGGACACCCCCCCCCAACCGACCAATGGGGGGAAGGACCCGATCGGTCGATCGAGTGGGCCGGACGAATCCTCGAGCCCAGCGTAAGATGGCCATCATCGTTCTTTTCGACCCGTAGTCCCCGACTCCCCCGAGTTGAGAAAGCGGCACGGGAGCCTCCGATGAAGTTCGCATCGTTGGGATGTTGTTCAAACTCGGCGGTACGAATGAATGACGGCTGGCTAATGAGACGGTAAGCTAGGTTTCCGCTATCGAAAAGCAGAAAAGACGGAGGAGCGGGAAGGGATTGGTATCCGGGCTGCTTTGGGAAGAGCTACAGTGAGGTTCGCGGCGATTGTTCAGACGGAGAAATACTTAGTGGTAGCGAGGTAGCTTACGCGAAATGTTCAATTTAAAGCAGGCATGAGGCTTGAAGGATGATGTTGATGACACGGGTAGGGCTCAGGCATGGGAGTTGCATGGATTAGATCATGTCAATTGATGCGGCGTCAGAAGGATCGAAATGGGACTGTGACAGCGCATGTGGTTTTCGCATGGCTTGATAGGCTAATCTGTATTGCTATCGTAAGATCTGACCACCCAAGCTCGCGCGAGGTTCCCAGATCACCTTCCCTGCCTCGAACCAATCACAAAAATGGCCGAAACATGATGCGATGCAGCATGTCAAACTTCAGGTAGCCGAAACGTGCATCAAGATCTGGGGCTAGGCCCGGTCGTGGATTGACCGACCAACGACATCCCAACAATGTGTGGAAGTGGAGACGGGTTTTCTTGTTTAATCAACATTTCGGAACATTGTGGTAGGAGAGGTATCGCACGCTTGCACCGAAAAGGTAGCAGAGGACTTTGGGTCGAAGCGATGATCGATTGATTAAGCCGGCAAACACGAAGCAGACCTCACCGGCCACAGACTTTTCAGCAGATGGGAGGCCTGGCAGCGTTTCGCAAGATGATCTGCAAAGCGAGAAAGTAACGCCACGCTCACGGAGCTATGTACGAATGACGGTAGCTAAGACCAATGGAGGGTATCATATGTCAAGGAAAGGAAGCGACCGAGAGATGCTTAGGTGGTATTCTCAGTCCACGATGTGTCGTTGATGAAAGCATCCCAGCCTCCATCGATACCGGCAGGGGTGACTGTGCCGCTGCCAGATGCGCTGTTCCCACCGGCATAAATCTGACATTTTGAGAAGTCATGGAGAGAAGCATCGTAGGGAAGTTGAAATGCTGGCGACGAGGCTGGCGATGCAGATATTGTCGTAGATGGCTGAGCGTAGATTTGATGGCGAGGTGACATGTCCAGAGCACTCGGTGCGAGCGTGGCGCTCATGCCATCATATGACTGATTGAAGCTTCGCGGCTTCTGAAAGGTAGATGGAGTCGTGTTGTAATTGTACGACTGTGGCAGGGCTTCGCTTCCAGCCATCAACATGGATGTAAATGAATCGTTAGGATCCAAGGCCGGTCCCAAGAGCATTTGAGCTTCGGTCGGAAGCGATGTAGTGAAAGGGCTCATATTGGAAAATCCATTCATCGCACCGAATGAGTGCTGTCGTTGCACTGGGGAAGGCTGTTGGGGCGCCCTCATCTGCTGTGAGGTCTGACCTTCTTGTTTCACGTTGGACGTGGATGATGTTTGGGGAAGCGCAGGCATTGCATGCATGGACTGTGGTGTCACTGGTTGCCCCGTTGGCGAGTGCGACGATGACTTGGATGATGCTGATGTACGACGACGATCCATCTGGGGTACAGCCTGGATCGGACTCGGTGCAGGCATGTTCGGGGAATAGGTAGGGGTACCATGGGAACCGGAGGCTGAGCGTGCTTGATGGCTAGGTCGGTAACCAGGTGTTCCTGGTGTGGGATATGGCTGACCGAATGATGGTGATTGCTGCTGAGGCATCTTGTGGGCCATGAATGGAGAAGGATATATGTTCTGATTATGCGCGAATTGTGGAGCGTTGGGGTATTGCTGGGCGTATGAGTTCGTGATGGCCTGATCCAAAGCAGACCTCATGGCGACATGGTTTGTGAGATATGCCGACAGGCGTCGATTAAAGTCGGCTGATCCAGTTTGCAGGTGGGCCGTAAGTCGTCGGTACTGCATGGGTAGGTCATCATCTTCCTCTTCATACATCTCCTCGTTGACCACATCTTGTTCGGTGACTCGTAGTGAACGACCGGTGCGTCTTTTGTGAATCTCAGAGGCTCGTCGTGCCGACTCGACTCTAGCCTCAAGACTGCGGTCACTTCTCCTGGAGGCGGCAATGTAGGCACTATAATTCAATAAGAACATGGTTCATAGGATGAGGTGAGAGAGCATGCCATACCGCTCTTGATTTTCCTCATGGGTCCGTTCAGTCTTCAAAGCCTTTGCAGGCGGAATGGTACGCTGGGGAGGCATGTTGATATGATTTGTTGATCGCCTTGCCCTGTGCAGAGAACAGAATCCGACAATAGAGCTTGTAAGTAGAAACCGAAGCTCAGGCTCTGTCGGAGAGGAAAGGTGAGAAGGAAGAATCTGGGGAAAGAGAGGATTGTCGGCGGTTATGTGTTGCAGGCAGCGACCAGGCGTCTGGAATAATATCGCGTCTTTCGGAGGCTTGAACCTTATGGTCCAGGGCTTTGGCGACAATCGAGTCGCACGGGCACAGAGTAGAGGGCAAAGGGTCGACGCGGGCGAGTGATGAGACAGCAGTTGAGGAGAGTCGAAGAATAATTGGAGGATTTGCTGTTGGGATGGAAAGAAGAGGATTGAAGATCTTTTTTGGTGTGAGGTGGGAGGGGCGGGCAATATCGATATAGAGACCCTGCGATGGTCAGGGCAGCGGACCGCGGGGATCGATCTGGAATTGCGGATTGGACCTGCGCCAACTGCCGAGGGCGGGCGTTTCGTACTCGTGAGGGATGGGAAGAGTGATCGTCGGCTAATTGAAAAAGAGGACAATGATCAGATGTAAAGTATGGTAGAGTAAAGAGGAGTTTGGAGATTCGATGATATAGCGGTTGGGAGGAAGAGTGATTTGATGAAAGTCGGGAAGAAAAAGAGTAAAGGAGGAAGAAGAGGGTTTTTTCTTTGATTTGGGAGGAGAGAATTAAGTCCTTATTCCATGGAGGAAGAAGAAAGAAGGAGAAGAAGAAGAGGAAGAAGAAGAAGTAGGAGAGATGTGGGATGTGGGGATTTTATTACTTTATCAAATAAATCGGTCAAGTAGCGTAATTGAGGGAGGGAGGAAGAGGGAATGAGGCGGAGGGAGAGGAAGAGGGAGAGAGATGCGACTCCGTTTGATAAGAGTCCAATTTATTGAGAGATGGAAGTACTCGGCTACGGCTCCGGTCGGGAAGCTAAGAGGTAATAGGCCAAAGAAAGGAGAAGCAGGAGTGAATAATGAAGTAAAGTAAAGTAAAAGTGAAGTAGGGTCCAAAGGCTTGTCCTCACTTCGATCGTAATAATCGTAATCGTAAACAGCGACACGATACGCGACAACTTCTGACAAAGTCCCCTATACCCGAAAGGGTAGGGAATCGGATGATCGGGAGATCATTTCACGGAGCACACACCTGCATCTCGAGGAGCTTGCCCCACCAAGGAAGGCTAAAAAGGTGAAAAAGGAGGACTACACCCGGGCTCTTTTCTTTCCGAGAAGAAGAATGGAACGATGATTGGTCCATCTGAGATGACATACTTTCACTGCCAGATTAGCGAGACTAGCGCGATCTGAGTAAAAGGGTTCCCAAGGGTTCCCACTTTCTTAGGCTTTGGACCATGGCTTCGCTTGCAAGCTTTCTGCAACGCCTTCAAACGAGGTCGACCGCCGATTTGTCAATCTTCTTTTCTCTGCCTTGCTCACTTCTGAATTCTGATGCCGCTTCGTTGGCTAAATAAGGTCAAATTCAATCTCAAATTCAAATACATCATAGAATATCGAGTCACAGCGCAATCGCCCCACAATCCCATCTCCCATCTCCCATTTCCCATCTTTCATCGAAATGCGCCGCGCTGAACAATGCGCTGCTCGAGGACTAATCTCCGCAACGCTACTTTAAAGATCGGCCGTCCAGCCAATGCAGCCCGAAGCAAAGTGGTGCAGCCATGCGTAGAGTACCTCCAATGATCGTCGAACCGCGAAGGAACGTAGTCAGCTGCTTCCGAATTTGGTCTCGGATTTTCTCCATTCCACATGTCAAGTCAAAGGCAGTAATAGGGACACTGTTCGTGGGCTCAAATTGTAGCGGGGGTGAGCGGAGAAGAGACCGTGACCGTGTATCAGGCTATCAGCAAGATAACCAGACGAAGCCAATGGAGCAAGCTAAGACGCTCTACCGTTAGTTTGGCGGTTGCTTGTTCCCTAAAGTACCTTACGGTAGAGTAGGTGGTGCTACCGCTACGACGGAGGTAGCTCCTTTTGCCACGACTGGATCGACCGATGGCAACGGTACTGCATGGGGAGCACATCGGACCTAGCCACATGCAATCAAAGCCACTGTGAGAAGAAAAGCATTCCGAT